TTAATCCGCAATATGAGTAGAACCTAACGGGGTCCTAGGTTTTTCGCCCAAATACTGGGTAGATTATTAAGTGCATTCGAGACATAGGCGATGTCCGTGTTGAACTAATTTATTTGTCTCCTCGATATTTCAGCCATAATTCGTGTCCCTTCATTGGAACAACCATCTTCACGCCATACAACAACATTGACTTGACAGAGGCAATGTAAAAGCAGATTTCAATGAAAAATTTGTTTATTTCTCAGCCAAATTATTTGCAAAAGTTGTTAAATAATGTGATTCTGGGATCCTCCTATTTAATTCTGGGTAGATGGTCCCATCAGTAGAAATGTTGGGCATGAGGTACTTTTATTGCTCAATCTCTTGATGCGCTTCACCCATGTTTTACCTGTAGATCAGCTGTTTTAGATGAGTGTAAACCTGCTAAGGCTTCACAACCAAGTTGTTTACCGTCTGTATCGTTTGTTCTAATATTGGCAGCTGTTTATCAACAGTGGGTATGACTGGATATTTTAATTAGCATAAAAGAAATACTCCGTTTGATATCACTGGTTGTCATCTGTTTGGTCCTTGTAGTGCAGACAGAAAAAGACAACATCGTCAAGTTGCCTCTGGTGTTGTGCGTCGTTGGTCTTCCGGCACGAGGAAAGACTTGCATGACAAAGAAGCTCAGTCGTTATCTGAATTGGTCAGGCTTCAAAAGCAAAGGTGAGAGTAAAATTTTTTTATTCGTCACAATTATGACTTTTATGTTTTATGTTCTAATAACATAATTTATGTTTTAATTATGTTCAGAATATGTAAATGCATGTTGAAACGTGTGTGTTCCACACAGTTATTTCTGTGGATTTCAAATAAAGTGTTCTCAATCCGTCTGTTATTGTACCAGTATTCTACTATAACATTTTTGCACACCTGCCGAATAATTCTCTTAATGGTGATATTTGTTTACCGGTGACAGGTCTGTCTATTCATATTTTCAAACGTTATATCTTGATTATAGTGTTTTTGTTGCAGAAGAAGTTTTAATATTTAAACGATATTGAGGACCTCAGTTTTCAGCCAATAAAGCAAGGGTTCCGCCAGAAAATTATGCTGCAAATTGAATAGAGAGGAAAGCATAGCAGAAAACTGTGTACAGAGTACATTGTTGATGTATTGGTAGACGTGCTGTAAAGCAGCTTAAAATGATTTATTTGTACCTGATGCAGTACACTAATCTGCCAGACGATTTGTGAATGACCAATATCGACGTATCTCATGGGACATTTTGAAGGTGAGTGATAGTTTTCTTTCGGGAACATGGTTCCGCAGAGTCAGGTACTTCGGTAGTCAACTGCAAGCTACTTCACGCGGGTTGTACTTTAAACCAGAAGCGTCAAATCCAGCCTGAATCGTCGATATCTGTCTTTGACATGATAGACCATTGCGTTTCAATACGGATGTTACCTGAACAGAAAATACACGAAAAGGGTGTTACGTTAGTCACCATCGAGTAATGCTGCGTGGCTGCTTTGGCGTTCTTGAGCATACCCACCTAAGTTGAAAAAGTGTTATAGCAGTAAAGTGTTGTTCTAACAAATATACTGACAAGCTTGGACCAGAGGGATATCCCGAAGGACAAGCGCTGTGTACTTCTGTCATGCACATGGAGAGTGTTGATTAGTATGCTGTTGCTGTGCGAACATCGTGTACACCTGGTGATTCGGCCGATTTCCTAATTCTGATGCAGGCCATCTGACAAAAGACTCCTAAATCTTGAGCGAAGCTTCGCTGCTTTTCACTCCGTTTTGAAATCACGTGCGGATGAATCTGATATATCGACAAACGTTTTGAACAATGCCTTCCAGAACTAACCGAAAGATGGAAATTCTGTTTGATTAATCGTGGTAGGTTTTCAGACACATGTATAGTAATAAATCGGACAGAGTTGTAAACATCGCCAGAAATAAGATGAAGCTAGCAGTTAAGGCAGAGCCGCTGTCTGTATTCAAGTCGATCTTTATCCTTATGGCCATAAGTTCTAGTTCATGAATGAAAAACTTCAACCCTACGTATAAATGTCTGAGATTCGCTTTCTTCCCTATTTCACTAGCGCGTTATGATGTTTTTCTATTATGCGTACTTTTTTCCATCAAACTGACTACTGCATATTCAAATCAGCGTCAGTTTCTCATGTCAAGGAGATACATTCCGTTGTTTTGAATATATTGACATCTGCAGGATGAGCTGATCGTACATACTATTAAACATATACCCAAGTTTTGTCTTTTTTGACCACAATGTTGTGGATGAAACGACTTTTGATTAGCTTATTTAGTTTAAAATTAACTTTCTTTCAGTTT